AGGAGTCAGCAAATGTTTCCTGTCCTTTAAACACCCTAGTGCGTCTGCTCCCAGACCACATTTTCAGCTTCTCTTCCAAGAGTCATGATAGAGTTATCTATCTGAGGAGCAAAGCTTGAAAGTGACTTCCTGAGCCCAAATACAGATGGAACGTGGTGCGGTGTAACTCAGCAGCCCACATCAAATGTGAATCATTAATGGCCATAAAAGGAAGGGGAGGCAGAAAATGTGACTCATTCCATCAGCAGCAACCAGCTGCCATCAATACCAATCCCAAATAACACAGAGCCAATGGCTGTCTGCCAGGCTACCTGAGCTCTACCCCATTATAAGAAAAAGACAAGGGGGATTTGGGCAGAGCCAACTGATAGCCAGTAAATATTAGCCCTATAAAGTGTTTTCCTTTGTGATTGTGTGGTCAGTCCTGCCCTGAATGAAGTCTTAACCATTTCATCACCTTAACAATTATAGTCAACTCTTCAACCAGTAGAGGTAGGTGATCTCTAATCAGACAAACACGCAGTTTAAGGGCACTGATAGGTCTTTCACATGACTGTTTCTTTGCAGATCAGGTCCCTATGGGCATAGATTTCTCGTGGGGTGTTGTCTTGTTTTTTCTTTTTTTACCCTTCAGTGAAATCTAAGCAGCCTACAGGACTCCAGCAGCTCCTCCCACGGAGGATGAAGTGATAATGCTCCTCTATCACTTCATTTTAGGCAGCAGTGTTTCACTAGAAATTCATTCCTGCCTCTAGAACTGGCCTGGTTACAGCACTGAGGAATCCAAGGAGGCAGAATGTCCTGACTCAGGTGCACCGCAGTAAGGTAATATTGTCAGTGAAGGAGAAACATAACACCTTACAATTCATTCACTAACACTGACCTTTGGTAGTTGAGACAAACATCGCTAGAGGTTGAGACAGCACCATGCTCTGGAGATCAGCCTGTTCTTCATCTGCTTCTGCCCTAGTTGAAGAAGGGCTATGTGAGCTAAAGAAAAAACTATAAATATTAAAAGCTGTTACACCAGGTTCTGACTCAAAACTACTTTCTGTAACAAACCGAGGGCTACAGAAGCTTCTCTGGTAAAACTACTTTACTGGAAAAGCCATTTCAATCCCTTGACCATAACATGAGCTGCATCAAGGTCTCTCTGACTAAACATCTTTTTCTATTACTCTCCCCAAGGCTCTCTGTGTTCAACTAAAGATAGCTAATGCAGAATAGCCAGCTTGGCAAAGAAATCTGGAATTGAGAAATGTTGTCAGGCTGCATCACCAGAACCTTTTCTACCCAGATACATCATAGTTGCTAATCACTTTTGGTTCTTTAGCCCAAGTTCAACCAGTTTTAAAGGTTGCTGTTGGACAACAAGCACAACCAAGTCTGGCAGAGATGCTCGTGCCAGTGAAACTTCCACAACATCCATGCACACCCGAAAGTGCAAATCACAGCACGATGAACATAAGGTGTGGTTCTGAAAGCCAGCGGCTGACAGCAACTCAAACTGCAGTGTGTGAAACAGTTTGGCTGGGTCTGGGAAGCACAGGCTGCTCAGGCAAAGCTGCCTGCCTCATCCCTTGCCACCACTGAGCTGGCTGAAATACATCCTGCTTTTTCACTCCCAGGAGACCACGGCATTTGCAAGTATAATCTGAAAACTGCAATCTGAGTTGCAGTTTGTACCTTGTCTCCCAATGGACCAAATTACCAGCATTAGGAGAAAGACAAGTGCATTATTTAGAATGTAGTGATGCTCTGGACTGGCTAAGTTATACCAGAGGAGTAGAATTCATCATTTTTGTAAGAGGAAAAAAGCACCCCTGAGGAAAATGAACAAACAAATAGAGAAAATGAAACTTTGGCAAATTTTTTTTTTTTTTCAAATCTTAAAAGTAAAAATTATGAGAGTCACTGTTCATGGCCCAGCAGAACTGAACTCTGACACACAATCCCTCCATGAGCATCAAGTTAATTCTACATGGCTGCACTTTTCCACTCTGCAGAGAGCATCAGTGGGCTGTGGATTACCTCACCTCTAGCCTGCTGCCACTGACCCGGTGTGCCACATGGCACCCAGGATGAGAAGGGATCTTTAACACCCTGCAGCCCTTCCCCAGCACCAGGCACAGCTGGAGGAGGTTTCAAATCAGTCTGATCAGCTGGATCTGGGACAGCAGGCCCAAGAGCCAATGCTGCAAGGGTATTAATTACAGGCCTAGCTACCATGGAACAAGTGATGGGGAGCAACTGCAAGAGCCCCACATCTGACACATGTATTAGATGCTGCAGAGGAGACTGTCCTGTGAGAGAGGGATGTCTGCACAGAGTAGTAACTGGTTTGGAACTATAAAAGTAGGAAGATTGCTCCCACCCTGCACTCTTGTTCACTGAAACCTTTAGCAGAAGGCTGATAGATAAAGACAGAGCACGACTAGCTGGGTGCCTGCCTGGCCTCCATGTCACACTTTGCCTATGGGAACCACCATGGTTCAAAACCATGCAGGGCCATCACCTTGCTCTGCTGCACTGGGAATCTGGACGCAGGACACCAGCATGCAGTGCTGATGCAGCAGCCCTCCTTCCAAACCAGAGGCAGAGCTCTCTGTGTGCATGGCTGTCCAGGAGGGGCAGGTGGACGAGAGGCTCCTTCAGGCTCCTGCAGTAGATGGCACTGATGGAGCTGCAGTCTGTCACAGTGGCCAGCCGTGGGGCCTGCAAGGTGCTGCTTGCTTCAGGCCCTCTCATGCCCACTGCCACCACTGATGGAACCTTGCTGGTCTTTGAAGTATGGGAAGAAGGCAGCTTTTCTGTGAAAGACAGGCATATGTGTAACTACAACATGGAACAACTCACCCCGAGGTCGTTCATTCCACTCGAGTGCTCTTTTCAGATCTGTCATAACTGGACTTCATCCTACTGCTTACTTGTCCTGTGGGTGACATGCTGGCAACCAGCTGGATGTTTTTACCCAGCAGTAAATCTGAGATTATTCAAGGTAGTCTGCTAAAGAAAGAAGAGCTGGTTGCCTCAGATTTGCCATGGGGAGGAGTGTGCAGAAGGTTATTTACTATGGAGAAGCTGATACACAAGAAGTCAGCACTAACTTCTTGTACAGGAGGTTGTTCACTCCCATGAGGAATGCTGGGGAACTGAAGGGGAGAGAGAACAAGAACACAAGCCTCCAAAGAGGGATATTTTCTGTGATGCTTATCAGATATGAGAAAACTGGGAAAGGGATAACTAGAAATCTGCAAACTTCTTTTCTAGATTATTTCCTTCTGCATCCAATACAGATTTTGTACTATGATGTCAGATGACATATCCAGGCAAATATTTGATTGGGCACCTTTATTTTCCTGCCTGGACTTGTACTTAGGCTTCCTTTATTTCCTGCAACAACTCTTCCCTATGTCTCAGGCAAAACTTTCTCCATGTCTACTGTCAGCATAGTTGGGGCCCAGTAAGTAACCCCAGAAACAGAGCAAATTTGGTTCCTCTTCAGTTCTTACTGCAGATGTCAGAAAAAGATGCAAGGTGTGCCTTTTTCCTCCCTGAGGATTAAAAACATTTTCCGTTACCTCATTTGTTGCATAAGAATCAGAAGCCAGAACATAAGTCTCCAGAGTAGGTAGATAACAGAGAAACTGGCTGTATATGTTTAAAAAAATAATTTTAAAGTTTTCAAGCTAAGGGTACAAATGTGATTTACAAACTCACATAAGCAGTTCTCAGCTCAAATGAATTGTCTCTTCATACAAAATGTTCCTAAATAATGGTGCATGGTACAGAGCATTGAAGCAGATCTGCTGCCTGTCATCTCCTAATGACTGCTGATTTTATGGTTTTCTTATTCATTTCTGGAGTCCTTCTTAATTTCTCCAGCTATCAGTATGAATGTATTACACAGCACTGAGCCAACCCTAACTGCAAGCCCATTTCTAAGGCAGTCTGCTCCTGTTGTTTTCAAATGTAAAAAGGGAGCAGGGAGACAGGAGAGTTTTTCTCTGATTAAGCTGGTTTTCATTCACCTTCTGCCTGAGGAAAAGGAAGCCCATTTCTCCCAGCCTGCCTATACCTTTCCCCAAGAGAAACAGATTGCCTATATTTGTGATGGTGTCACATACAAACCTGTCAAGAGAACTTCTTGGCTTAAAAGGAAGTACAAGCCATGCTAGAATAGAGGGACAATCTCTATACTTAGCAGCTAATGTAACGTCTGTTGCTCTACAGTTATATTGCATTAGCAACTAATAATATTCTAGACATGCTTTAAGAAAGATATCATTAATTCTATTTCAGAAATGGAAAACCAATAAAGACCTGAGTGGTGCATGGCAGTATGTGAAAACACTGGAGTCTAATGCTAAAGACTCAGTGGTTTGTGTTCAGAGACCAGTATCATTTTTGTTTACCTTATCTTGTTGCTCTCCCACCTCAGACCAGCTTCTCTTGGCAAATACGATATTTTGGTAATGGCTTGTCACCCAATGCAATTACAGGACAGCTAGATCAGTAATTTTGCCATGCTTCTAAAGTCCCATGGGCAACAGGATGGGGGAAATTGTGGAAGGGGAAGCTGGATTTTCTGCAGCTAAAACAGACAGGAAAGTCACTGGGAACTAATTTAGTACATTTAACTTTAACTCACACAAGTAACCCTGGAACTCAGGGCACTGCAATCTGGGAAAGATCACTGCAAGGGAACACAACTGAAGTTGTCTGGGACACAAAAATGTATGAAGAGTTAAAAATTCAACTCCTGGATATTCAATACTGGGAACAGAAGGAAAGAATCAGCCCAGAATCTTCTATCATTTCTTTAGGGAAAAA